GTCTTCTTCATGAGCAGCAAGAATTCTGAAGTGCTAAGCTATTTCTCCAGGCTCAAAATACTTTGCTGAATTTGAAGAACCAATTATTAAGATCATGGATATCAGTTATAACTTACAGATTATGAGTATAGTTTTTCTACTTATGGCCTAGTATACCCCCTCAAAATAACTCCAAAAACTCAGATTGTCATAGTATATTTCAAATGAAGCTTACACAAAATGAAGTGAACACAATAAGTCTCTTCATGGATTCTCTATTCTACTCTTTGATCTACATGCCTAGTATTATTTTAACTTTATAATCTTGGATACTGTACTTACACAGTATATATCATTGGGTAAAGGTAGTCAGCTCAATTCATTTTTCCCAAAAGTTCTATCCCTTTACATATAATTTTACAAAGAATTCATATAATTTTAAAACCATGCTAAAAATTCTAAAGAAAATATGTGAAAGATATAAGTTGAAAGTTTTAGGAAATTAACATTACTATGTTGAATCTTTCCGTCTCTAGACATGGTATATCTTTTTATATGTATTTATTTTTATTTCGTGGGAATGAGTGTTTTGCCTTTATGTGTGACTGTGTACCATGTGCTTTCCTGTTGTGCACAGAGGCCAGAAGAGGACATCAGATTCCCTGAAACTGGAGTTAAAGATTATAGATGCTTGAGCCTCCTCATGAGTGCTGGTAACTGAACATGGGTCCTCTGCAAGAACAATACATGCTGTTAATGACTGAGTCATCTCTCCTGCCCCTATTAGCTCTCCATTTCTTTAAATACGCTGTGAATTTAGCATTTTGTGGTTTTCAGCATATGTGTAATCTTAAGTAAACACTAGCCATTTTATTCTCTGGGGAAATTGTAGTTTGTTCTGTTTTCAATATCAAATTTCAACATTTGTTGCTGGAACTACATGCAAGATAATCCCTTTTATCCTCTGGTGCTACTGTTCACAAATGGACTAAAATTATTTATTAGTACACTTTTATATACACACAGTTGAGTAATATGCAAACAGGGACTACTTTTCTTCTTAATGTCTAATATATCAGCCTTTTAATTCTTCTTCTTGCCTTACCATGCTATCTTAGAGTTTCTAGTATTGAACTGAATAAAGATAATAAGAGATGAAATGCTTGCTTTATTCCTAACCAAAGGATAAAAATAGTCATCCTTTCACAATAAAATGGTACCTAAAGATTCGTGGTTTGTCTCCTTCCTCTTTCTCTCTTTGTACTCTCTTAATAGGTGAAGAAATTTCTCTGTGTACCTAATTTGCTTAGAGTTCTCATCCAGAAAGTGTTTGGGATTAGGTCAAGTACTTTGTCTTCAAAAACTCTGTGACTTAATTTTGTCAGTTACAGCTTGCTGGTACGGCAGATTATATAGTTATTATTTTTCTAAAGGTAGTTTAGCATACTTCAAACTTAAGTGGTATTGGTGTATAAATGTTTTCATACATTGTTAGATTTTATTAATAAACTTTTATCAATGAATTTTAAGGAGAGATAGTAGTGATCTACTTTATTTGTTTTATGTTTATTTCTCTGGCTTTATCAGCAAAATAGTAGATTTATAACATGGAATGAGAACTGTTTTCATTTGATATCTCTTTGATATAATTTGAGGGTGTTTCCAATGGGTTCAGTTGTTGGTGTCTTGCTCCTCAGTATGGTGAACATTCAAGATGTAGGGTACTGGGGATAATCATTAGGTAATAGGATGTATTGGCCATAAAGGGGTTTAAAGTAGTTCTCAGGGGATTAAATAGGACATGGACACTAAAAGAAAAATCTACTATTATTATTCTTCTAAAGGAACATAGCAATAAAATGACCCCTAATGCCACACTGATAAACCAATAGGACAGGCCTTGTGGGAGAAGCTTCTTCTTGCAGTAGACAGTGATTAATACAGACCTACAATTGGACATTATGCAGAGAATGAGAGACTCTGAAGCATTCAAGCCTAAATGGAATGAATGTCTTTACTAAACTCCTCCACTAAAGGCTCAGGTATTTATGAGGAAGAAGAGATAGAAAGATTGTAAGAGCTAGAAAGTGGATGACTCCAAGGCAAGAGGGAGATAACATGAAGTCAAAGAGACTATGACAACACACAGAAGACCTATACAAGTTCAAACCAGACAAATTCCCATCATGGAGGAATAAATGGACATAAAGTCCCACCCACAACCAGGACACTATTTACAATTGATACCTGCTGAGAAAGGAAAACATGATGTTTCTCCAAAGGAGTGTTACTGGATATATCAATCACATTCCAGAGTAGGCCCAATGCCAGCGTGGCATGGACCAACACAAAACAGACTCCCATGGTTGTATGTTTGTGAGCACATTCACCTTTTGTATTATTTTGTTATTTTATTTTATTGGTTTTTATTTTTATTTTTTGTTCCAGAGAGTGAAGGTAAGGAGAATGTATATAAAGTTGAGTGCATAGTGAGGCGAAGAGGATATCACAATATCATCAAAATATTCTTTTTCTAATTTATTTTTTATATCCCAACCCCAGTTCCTCCTCCCTCTTCTCCTCCCACTCCCCCCCCACCTCCCTTCTGCTCCACAGACAGGGTAAGGCTTACCCTAAGAAGTCAGTAGCAGAGTGTTTATACAATTGTTTATAAAAAAAAGTTATTAGGGGATATGAGTTATTTTTTACAAGAGTCAGTCTATTAGGTCTGTCAATGCCAGCAGGATTTTTTAAGAAACAAGCATTTTATTTCGTGGATTTGTCTCTACTGTTTTCAGTTTTTAACTTATTACTTGATTTCTTCCGCTTTATTTAAATATATCTTGTTCTCTACTTTTATTGTTTCTAGAAAGAGGAACTTGGGTTATTGATATGAGAACTTTTTTTTCTGTTTTTTTTTTTTTTGGTTTTCGAGACAGGGTTTCTCTGTGTAGCTTTGGAGCCTATTCTGGCACTTGCTCTGGAGACCAGGCTGGCCTCGAACTCACAGAGATCCACCTGCCTCCCAAGTGCCTGGCAAAGATATTTCTTTTTTAAGTGCATGAGTGCTTTGAATGCATTATGTATGTGGATCACACATTTGCCTGGTGACTGAGAAAGCCAAAAGAGGTTGCAGATCCTCTGGAACTAGAGTTAGAAATAGTTGTTGGCTATCATATTAATGCTATGAACCAAACCCAGGTCGTCTGAAAAAGTGGTACATTATCTGAACTGCAGTACCATCTCTTTAGTCCCTTTCTTCTTCTTCATGTAATCATTTAGGATTATAGATTGTCTTCTCATGGCCAGGTTGGTGGTACAGGCCTGAGATTCCAGCTACTAGAGAGGCTGACTTAGAAGTATCTCTAGTATAAAGCCATCCCTGATAACTTAGTGAGACTTTGTCGAAAACAAAAACATTCTCATTCATGGCAAATACACACTAACATAGATACAAATAAAACTAAAATTTGTAACTTGTCCTCTCAGTCATTCTTTAGCTACCTTACAGATTTCACTGTAATGATTATCTAAAATTTCCTTTGAGTTATCCACTTTGATATATGGTTTATTTAAAAGTGTCTTTTAATCCCCATATGTTGACATTTTCCTTTATTTTTATTATTCATTTCAATGTTTATTCTATTAGGATGTAAGGACATACGCTGTATATTTCTGTGCCTCAATGCTCAAACTCCATTCAGTTATAACTCATACACTTTAAGGAATCTCCTAATAAACCTCATAATTCTAAAATCAGATAAAATGAAATAAACACCTCAAAAAATTAAAACCCCTTACAAGAAGAGTCAACATTTCTGTAAATTAGTTAAATACAAATCTATGGCTTCTAGTGCATATCTGCTCTAGGATATTTAGCCCACTTAATGTTATTGCCTGCTAGAACTTTTCAAGTTGATTCTATTCACTAGCATGGCCTCAAATAACTGCTATGTGATTACAAATCCTAATGTCAATCATAGGATTCTTCTTTCTGAAGATTTTAGGATGACTTATCCAATGAATCATGACACTCTTGAAATTCTTCTTTCTTTTTTGTTTTGGTTTTTGAGACAGTGTTTCTCTATGTTACAGTCCTGTCTGTCATGGAACTCACTTTGAAGACCAGGATGACCTGGAACTCATAGAGATTCTCCTGCCTCTGCCTCCTAAGTGCTGGGATTAAAGGTGTACAACCATCACACACAGCTAAATCTTTCTTGTTCTTTCTCCCCCATTGAGATGGTCAGATCTCATTATATAGTCCAGTTGGCTTAGAACTTGATGTGTAGACCAGGCTGGCCCCAAAGTGTGATGATCCTCTTGACTCTAATTGCTAATACTGAGATTACAGGCTTGCCTCGATTACCATATCAGTTTTATGTGGTGGTACAGACTGGATCTAGGTCTTTGTGCATGATAGGCAAGCACTCTCCAAAGTGAACTCCATCCAAGCCTTCTTTTTCCTTTTTAATGCTATAATATAAGTATAGCATTATTTCCTGAAGAGATCATACAGCAGAAAAGATGACACATTGAAATGAATAGTTTTGCACATAATAATGAGTTTAAATGTTTTAAAATAAACAAATTAAAGAATTATTTAGAAAAATTTCAATTTATTGAATTTGATATTGAAAAGTTTAATCAAATTAAGCATTATAATTTGAGATATTTATATATCAGACACAAGACTGGTAAATACTTACAGAGAGAAGAATATTAAAAAGATAAACCATCATATATACTAAAGCTTAAAAACAATACAGTCTTATATTTTCAGTAAATCACATAAAGATTTTTTATATTTTTTACTTAAAATTTTCAGAGAGTGTATTACAAACAGTTGATAAAATTTGATGGTGATTCTGTAATATGCATGTATTTTTAACTTGAGAAACTAAGAATTTAATCATGTATTAACATATCGAAAGATTCAATGACATTTAAGAAGTAACAATTTTCCCTCAGTTCCTAAATAAAATTAAAATCTCTGCAGGCATGAAAATTTCATACTATACCTTGATTTCTTCTATTTCATCTGGTACTATCTTGTATGCTGATATAGTCCCACCCAACCTGAAATTAGAAGAAAATATTTTTAAAACCAGCAACAGTGTAAAAGCATATGAATGATATATGCCATTAGCATTAGAGTGCCACCAGAAATCTCCCAAAACCTACCTCAATAGCCATGGGGGAAAACATTTTGTTTCATTTTCCAATGTATTAGTTTAGAAGAGACAGACAATAAATGACTCCCAAAGACAAAATCATTATATTGGATTTTTATTCTGAATTAAACTTTCATTATTGATGGTTTCAATAATGCTGAAGCTGCCACGTTTATTGCTAGATTCTGTCACAACATATATCAAGAACCAAGAGGAAACCTGTTTTTATTTGTTTAATTAATAAACTTGATTTCTTGGAATAGTTTAAGGTTTCTGAAAACTGAACACAAAGTGAAGTTAACATATCTAGCTCTAAGAGCATTTCCTAGTTTCCCAATAATTATCATCTCATACTTGTGTAGTGCAATTGTCACAATTAATGAACCAATATTGATTTTGCTTAATCTTTGCTAAAAACACAGAGTCTGAGAGATGAGTATGTCCAGCACTATCAAAGAGAAAGCGAAAATGAATTGTGAGTTATAGTTTGAGTCCTAATATTTAATTTTAAATTATTTCAAAACAGAAAGTTTTAAAAGCATTAGCATTATAAAAGTAGATTTTTACCGTTTTTTCCTTGTTAACAACTCTTTATAGTTAAATAGTTAGTTAAAATTAACATATGAGACAATTATTATATAATTGGGATAGAATAAAGAAACAGTTCCAATTTGTTATAAATGGATTCAAAGATGCCATGGTGAAAATAGTTGATAAGGGAAGAAAAATAAAAAGCTTCATTGTAATCAATCTGAATCCTATATTCAAAAACAATTCATTTTTCTCATGATTACTGTTAAAAAGCACCTTAGGTACCTCAATCTGCTCTTAGAAAGATAGAGGAAGGTAACTTTCCAGATAAGTATATATGTAACTTCAAACCAAGGGGAATGGTTTTGATCATTAAAAAGGTGACATGGCTGTCACAGTCTGTTCTACAAAGTAAGTGCCAGGTCAGTCAGGTACGTGAGACAGAGAAAATGTGTCTCAAAAAAGCAAATTAATAAATAATAATAATAATAATAATAATAATAATAATAATAATAGAATAAAAAAGAAGCAATTCAGAAAACCCAAGTAAACAACTAAGTAATAAGCAACTCTTTCTGAGGGAAAAATAGTCAAAACTTACAATTATGTTAGTTAGGTTTTCTAGATACACAGAGATATATTTGAGATGGAATGTCTTCAAAACTTTCAAAGACCTACAGAATGTGGCATTTAAAATGATTTAGCGTTTTTCATAACAGTGAGACACAACTGCTCTTGGCAACACCAATTACTTCAGAGAGGAAGATGGGCAGTGAAGAAACTTGTTATGGAGTTTGCCTTCATACTAGCCATTTGGGCAAGAAACCACTCTTGCCTGGACTGTTTGACTATGTGCTGTCCAAACTGGACATACAGGACCCACAGAAAAGTGATTGCTGGATTTGCCAAAACAAGATGGGTTTCTGCTTCATGGAAGAGTCTGCCAGATATTCTGCAAGACACAGAGAAAAATGACTGACAAACTGCCAATACAGGCAGAACAGTTTAAAATTTCCTACTTCAATGAGAAGTCTGCCAGACACACTATGGCCTATCAACTGAAGATGGATGCTCCAACATTACAGAGGAACTTTGGGTGACTGTTCAGGCAGCAAGATGTCTCTGTCAATTCTAGAGTTTATATATTATCCTTCTGAGGTCGCTGATGAAGTTGAAGACAGATAGTTATGGTTATGGTTTTCCTTACTTAAAAGATAACATTACATATAAAATTTTGGACCCACCAAGATAGGATAGATGATAGAATACTTTCTTTAAATTTTGCCAAATGTTAACGACTAAATATTGTTAACTATAGATCTTACTTGATAATTGTTTTGTTATATATAATTTTACTATGTTAAAGTTAAAACCCTTCTTTTTCTTTAGACAGAAAAGAGGGGATGTATTTCTGTATATATGTTTCTTGTATTGGTTGATGAATAAAACACTGATTGGCCAATAGCTGTGCAGAAAGCACAGGTGGGGCTATGAGACCAGGAGAAGCCTGGTGACAGGAAGGCAGAGAGAGGCAGTGCGGGAGACACACCATGATCCCCAAGGAGTAACATGCTGGATTACGGGTAAGCCACATCCTTGTGGCAATACATAGATTAATAGAAATGGGTTAATAAGTAAGACAGAGATTGTCAGTAAGAAGCCCTAGCCATAGGCTAACAGTTTAATAATTAATATGTCTCTGTGTGCTTATTTGGGGCTGAAGGGTGGCAGGTCCTGGTGGGGCAGAAACTTGCATCTTCAAAGGATAAACTTACTTCAACTATTCCCCCCCCTCCATTTTTTGAATACAAACAAAAATAGTGGTTTTAATTTCTGCATTAATTTCTGAAAATGGCATTTTCATGGCATCATTAAACACAGATACAGTCTAAATACCCACAGCTTTAACATGTTATCAATATAAGTTTCTTTACTGAGACCAGGTTGTAAAATGACTTACTTCAGATTTTATTACACAAACTGTCCACATTACTGATGAAGAAAGAATAAACTCTGGAATAAGTATGTAAAAAGTATTATACATTGGCAATCACACTGATAATAGCTTCAATACTACATGCAGTACAGAAGTCTCCCTTATCTGGAGTATACAAAACTACAAGGATTTCAGCTGTCTTCTTTTTGGATGTTGTAATATTCCATATATATAACTTACAGATGGGACCCAATTCTAAACAAAATAATTGATATTAAAAGTACATTTATTTATTTATAGGGGTATGCGTCACCATGGACCAAAGGGCATATAGAGGTCAAAGGACAAGTTGCCAGTGTCAGTTCTATTCTTCCAGTATGTGGGTTCCAAGGTGAAACTTGGGTTGTCAGACATGGTGGCAAATACCTTTACTAGCTGAGTCATTTCACTGATCCTGTGATTTATACACACGGCCTTTGGGTGATTTTTTAAAACACATGTTTAGCGTGCCTGCAAGAAGTCATGTGGAATTTTCACTTAAGGCATCATGTTGATGTTCAAATCGCTTCAGATTTTATAGCATATCAGGTTTCAGGATTTCAGATTAGAAATGCTCAACTTGTATTCATTTAAAATGTGCAAAGCATTATATAATAGTTTAAATGTATTTCATCATTTAATTCTTAGTATTTACAGTTGCTATAATTAAAGCAATATTTTTTTCACAAACTTAATTTGAGCAGGTAAAATAATGGGTTTCATCATGAAATTGTCATATATGAACATACAGATATAAAATAATAAGCTGCATTGCCATATATTAAATTTATTATAATTAGGTGACCCACTGCCTATTGGGCCCCCATTCCCTGGGATCACTTCCTGTTTGCAAAGAGCACCTCTTCTATTTTCATGCCTTATTGCTTTATATCTAGATTCTCCATGGCAGAAAACAGACTTAAACAACTCTCTCTTGCTTCTGCCTCTCTTGTGGGTTGTAGGATTTCCCTACACCCCATCTCCACAGGCTGCCACTCTCAGCTCATGGCTACACACAAGCAGCTGCAGGTGTCCACATTCAGGCCTGTGTTCTCCGATCAGATGTGGTACACAGTCTTAAGCCCCACCATCTTTGTTGGCAGATTTGGTGAGACAATGTGGGAATTCTTAAAGGGGGGAAAATAGTTTAAAAATATGAGTTTTTCCCACATTAAAACATGGGAAACACTATTACAATAGAGAGATTTAGGTCTCTGTATGATAATATGCTGGACAGTTTGAAAATGGAACAATTAAATGAGAAGACAATGAAATTTCAATTAAAAACTACCAGTAATATCATTTATGTTTTACCACTAAGAAAGCTGGTTAATATGAATGCTAAGATACAAATTTTAGAAAAACATAATAAAACAGATCATAGAGATATTCAGGCCCAAACAGAGGAATTTAATGGATAACCAATTTCAGCATGGCATTATAGACAGGAATAGTCTAAGGCTTTCAACCAACTTTAATATATATAGTCACTTTACAGGAACAACTGTCAAATGACAAACATTCCCAAGGCTGTACAAGTGTTAAATGGGACTCCTATGGAAATGTCAGATTTAAGGAGATTCAAGGAAGCAATAGTCTCATGTGGCATGCATTCATCTTTTGTGAAGCAGATGTTAAACTCGTGGTTAACTTGTAACAGAATAATCCCTAGAGACTGGAGATACTTAAAGCAGTCTTAGAGCCTCGTCCTCAATTACAATGGAAGACCTGGTAGAAAGCCTCATCCTCAATTACAATGGAAGACCTGGTAGAAAGACGAGGCTAAGACCAATGAACATCAAAGTAGGGCTATGGATATTATCTCTAAAAACCAACTTCTTGCAGAGGAAGATCATGTTGACGTACAAAGGCAATCTCTATATGATGACCATACTTTGGCTTTATGTTACACAGCAGCTTTGAATGCTTGGGGCAGAATTGAGAACATACATAAGAAAATTTCCTAAAGTTATACAGTGTCCAAAGGAAGCCTTCAAGAACTGCTTACACAGACTGATATGATATATATAGTAGAATGATATGAAACTGAGAAGCAAAACAAATATAATTGAACCTCTGTCTTTTGAAAATGCTAAGGCACAATAGAAAAGGGTAATCACTGGGCTGTTAAAGGCAAGATCAGCCCCTTGGTATAATGGATCAAAGATACAACTAATATTGAATTTCATTACCATGATATTCATGGATAGGTGATTTTGAGGGGTTTGAAGAAAAGCAGAAATAGCAAGGGCACAACAGCCCTACCTTTAAAATAGAGAAAATTTTGCCTTCACAATGCCTACTTATAATAATTCCCAGTCTGCTAACAGATGTCAATGGAAGGTTCTCACACAGGGAATATTAAATAGCCCCACTTGTGGCAATATTTTGTATGGTAG